AAGAAAAACTAATGCAGCTTTCCAGTGCTAGGAAACGCCCACCAGTTCAACCTGACACCTAACTAACTAAACCAGCTAAAGCATAGATTTCAATGTGCTGGTAATCTTAAAACTATCATGATGCCTAACTGAGGAGTGATAATTACACAACACTGTGAACATTACCCACATGACAATTTTGTTTGGGTAGGAGCTTGGAAACTAAATCCATCTGGAGTGTACTGCACAGTGAGGTCATATAATATAGGTCAAATTATCCAACAACATGGCCCTTTTCCAGTCATAAGGAGCCAAAAATCCAAAGTTCTACTTCAGATCAAAGAAATARAGTGGTCACTGTAAAAAATACCTTTTACATGAACCAGGTGCTCCCTGGAATTTATGCAAGTCACACACAGAACACTTGGTTAAGTTCAGGAATCAGTTTAATCAGTACTCCCCATCTCAAAAATAGTTTCAAGAGTTCTTGCACAGTTTCCATGGAGACTGAACCTAAAGAGTTCTTTCTATTTCTGTCTGTGAAAATCCCTTCACATTTATGCTGCCAAGTTTCTCAGGAGAGCCTGAAGGATTAAAAGAGGCACTAATATCCATGTTAGTGTCTATCACATGCCACTTAATTATTTTAGAAACACATTTACCTTTCCATGTGAGGAGAATATCATAGTTTCACGAGTTTGTTCAGATGGAAGCAAATTATTTAAGGACTTCCAACTACATTCCCACAGCAAATGTATTATCTGAAAACCTCCTTATCTTCTATTCCACCTTACCATACCGGCAAAAGACACATGGGCTGCATGTATCTAAAGCACTTTCACCTCACAAGTAGGTTCTTAATGTCTCTCATCACATCTCCACAGGCAAACTGGCACAGTCCAGGCTAGGAAAAGTGGACATTCAAGTGAACTGAAAATCTATYCAGATGTTGCAGAAATTCCATCTGAAAGCCAGTCACCAGTGATCAACCACAGGATGTGACACGAGGGCCAATACTGCTAATGTCTTCACTAATGAACTGGATGATGGTGCAACGCCCCATCAGCAAGTCTGCAGACAATACAGAATTGCGAGGTGTAGTTTGTGCAGGAGCTGAATCTGCCATTGGGTCTGCTGCTACTCGGGAGCATCTTGACAGGCTGAAGAAATGGACTGACAAGAAACTCAAGAAGTTTAACAAAGGGAGACACCAAATTCTGCACCCTGAACCAGAACAGGCTCAGGGCTGACCATCTGGAAAGCAGCTATGTAGAGAAGGACATACACCATTCCTGCTGGACAACAAGTTGAGCAGGAGCAAACAATGTTTCCATGAACAAACTCAGGGCTGCAGTGCAAAAAGTAAAGCCAGAAGGTTGGAGGAGGTGATCTTTTCTCTCTCCTGAGCAGTTGTGAGATCTCATCTGGGGTTCTAGACACAGTTTTGGGGTCCTGAGTACGAGACAGACATGCGTGTCCTGTACTGAGTCCACTGAAAGATCACAAAGATACATAAGGGGTTGGAGCATCTGACAAAGTGAGAGCCTGAGAAAGCTGGGATTGTTTAGCCTTGAGCAGAGCAAGTTTGGCAGGGTTCTCACCAATGTTCATAAATGCCTCATGAACAGAAGAAGATGTACTCAGAAGACTCTTCTCATTCAGTTAAAGGATGAATGATAAACAAAAAATTCCCCTAAAACACCAGTGAGCAACTGTTTAATTCCATGTGTTGCCATATGCTAAAATATGCTCAAGAAGACCGTGGAGTATCACTGCTTGCTCCAGATGACTATCCTTTGGACAGGAGAGTTTGACTCTAGACCCAAGTATTCTATGGCTTCATAAATGCAAAGTGTCGAATGAGGGAAGGGTATGTATGTGTACTTGCCCCTAGGCAGTGATGCCCAACTGAACACAGCTTTAGAGAATTTCAGCAGGAAGCTCGTAAGCCAACCCAACTGATGCAGCTATAAATTACATGGGCTCTCCTAAGTGGCTGAAATTAATGAAGACAGCCCTGAASTCAGGCTTTCCTACCCAGGCAAACCTCCTGAGATGCAACAGCTCTAAAACAGGCTGCAGAATGCAAGGGACTTTGCTAAGAATGACACTGCTGAGTGGTTCTGGGCACATATTTATCTTGCTCTCAGGACCACATTAAAAAGGGTTTGAATTCCACTGACCAAGGCATGTTGCTTACAAAACAGTTAATAGAAGCTTTTATAAAGATCATTCCAAAGCATCTAGCACTTTTTCAAAAAAAGTTCAGTCTCCTATCCATTTAAGAAAACACACAGAGCGGCTGACACCATGTCTTCTGCAGTTTCAGCTTTGGTTCCAAGGTGTAACAGCCAAGTAATAAGACAATCAGTTGGATGGCAATGGCAAAGCACAAGAGTAAAATAAAATGCATACAGACCACGTTCTGAGCAGATTAACATACCAACTTAAGCAAGTCCCAGCAGCTAGAGACTCAGGTCCATGTTTATATACTGTTTCATTGAGGAAACAACCTTATCAGTTGACCCAAATGAACCTTAAAATGGCTACAGATGCAAGCTGCTGGGTGGAATTTACTTACATAATGATGTGGATGTTACAGGCCATAGCTACCCCTTGAGAGAAYGTTAAAACAGCACTGTACCTGGCAACACTACTAGCTGAGCTTTYAATCTGCAAAAATTCGACCAGGAAAACATCAGAACAACAACCAACACTACTAYAGAGGCACATTATTTGAAGCACTATTAAACAAGTACAGATACTCTAAGATTTTGCCACCAAAAGTATTTTGTTATTTTGTTAGAAGAGCTCTCCAAAAACATGCTGTATGTTATAATTTTCTCTTCATTGTATGTTAGTGTTTTGCRTGTTAGTGTTCATCAGAGTTCGCAGCCTATGTTTAAGCAACAATAAGACTGCAGTTCTTTAAAWTACTGGAGCTCATTTCTTTTCTCCTCCTTCCCCAGACAATGCCACSAAGGCAGAGTTTTCTACTCTGCTAGGAATCCTCCAAGCACAAGCAAAACGTGTCAGTTCCAAAGCACCTACAGKGTAATGATGAAGAACGGAGAGGGACTGCTAAAAAAACCATCATGGCAGAAACAAAGATRTGAACAGTGAAACAGCTCAGTGCTATTTTAAACAAATCATGGCAGACATATAAAAGAATTGAGAAAAATAGGACACTCATAGAATGTAAGCAATACCCAGGTTCACAGGTCACATATTTACTAGTATTCAAATGGCAACACTTTTTATATGTACATGGTCACTCTATGCCTAAATAGAGTTGAAAGAATGAAGAAAATTTGATTAATTTGGATACAGGGAAAATGTATTGATTGAGCAAGGCAGAGCATTAGAAACAGAGTTAAAACTCAGTTTGGTGTCAAGTCAGCAGGTAGTAAGGAAAACTCAAGAAAGGGCTTTCTGAGGTTGCACAAATCAAGATATCAATAATTAGTGTACTCCACATCTACTCCTCCTGAAGCAAAAAAAAAATACCAGAATGAACTGAGGAAAGTCTGGCTTTTAGAAATATCACACTCAAAAACCAGTATTTAGACTATTAATCTATTTAAGACCAAAGATGACTTCTAAGGTAGCTGTCCTCAGACTAAGAGGAAAGGCTCTACATTGAGTCTCAATTTAGACTAAAGTGTGCGTGAGTAGAGCARTGCAATGGCCCAGCACTGGGCTGCATAAATCCACAGCAACCAAGCAGAGAGTGCTAAACATCTTTAGACTCCCATGTAGCAGACAGGCAAATCAGTGAATAAAGGTTACTCACTGTGAATACCTGTCAAAGGAGACTGTTAATGCAAACCAATGGACACACTGACCAGGCAGAAATTTAGTCTGTTAGAACAGGTCCCTGGCTCAAAAAAGCGCACTGGTCTGTGCAGCTTGGGCAGCTGGTGATCCCACGTCCTTATACCTTTAATTATCACAACCAAGCCAACAAAGTGCAGGCATAGCCCAAAATAAACAGCAAAAGAAGAAGAAAGAAAAAACAAAAATCACTGACAGGGTGAGACCAGATGACGCTGTAGATAAAAAGGAGTCACAGGTTTACAGAGGATGACAATGAGTAACGCAAAAAGTTGAGATAATCTGAATACTGTCTAAAATCCCACCTGCCAAGCCTACTGCAATATTTTGTTCATCACTAAAAAAAAGGTAGATTTAAATTCCACATATAACAGAGCAAAAACTCTGACGCAGTAAGTCTCAGTTATTGTCAAATGTTAATTCTATGAAAATACATCACGGTTTTCACATTTGTGCATTGTTATGATATGATACGGAATTCACAATTCCTGTATTTTAACATATTGTATCACTCAGTTTGAATACGCTGAATGATGAGTTAAAAGCAGTTTTAGATAGCCCGATTACATTTTATATGCACGCTCTTAAAATACATTAGCATTTTACAATCGTCTTCTTAAATTTCCAATGCATTAATTCATTTTACTTTAACTCATCCACCACACAAGATACCCAGAAATACAAACATTTTAGCTACAAATGACTGCAGTAACCAGTAATATACAATAACACTGCTATGTTTTATTTACAAAATCTCTCACGTCGCTATGTCAAAGAAGGATGTTCAAAGAACATAACCTTATTAAAGTCTGAATTACTTTCAAAAATCCTTCTCAGGTCTCTGACTTAAAAGGTTTCAAGAGGAATGTTTTTAGGCAGAACATGCTGTCAAAAAAAACATAATAAAATTTTAAGTAATTTAGCACAGCAAACTGAGAACTCATTAAGAAACAAAATTAGTAAAACATACATGTATATTCCCAGAGCAAAATGTCCGCAGATAAAAYGAAACTGCAAAAGTTAGGTGATACAAACTCATACTGAATAAAAGAACATGCATTCTTCTAATACAAAACTTCTAGGGAAAAAGATTATGTGAACAAAAATTTCTTTGAAAAGGTATACACTTTATGGATGGGCATTTATATCTGCAGTACATAGAGGAGCATTACTTCAAACATGATTACCTGCTAACTTCAGAACTCAAATAGCACAGCAGATGGATGGCCCAAAGAAAAGGTCCCGCATATGTTGCAAATGCTGTGAGGAAGATAGCTGGTATCTCCACATAGCTGTCTAGTCCCACAAAACCTGCTGAAACATCCACAGTAGCAATGCCATTTGAATTTCCCTGAAAATAGAGATAACATAGTAAATACTCAAATATCTCCAAAGATACATTTAGAATACATTAGAATAATATTCATTATTGCACACATTAAGGACTTACTCTTGAAATTGCTTTGCAGCACAGCCATATTCTTTACATCTCAATTTCAATAAAACAGCTTACCAAACAAGTGCTTTTAATTAGGATTTACAGATTAACAAAGGCATAAACAGCATGCTATTTTGCTTGTCTTATTTTCTCTGCAAATTAACATGCTATTGTTTAATGAGTTACATTAAAAAAACAACTTAAAATACACAGGTACACTTGCTGATTTCAGTCACTTATTTATGACACTTCATTAATGAAAAAGATGCATTTTCCACCACACATGGTTCAAACACAAGGTTTTATGTCTGCTGCCTAAAATTACTCCAGGGAATAAAAAATTTCTTTCCCTTAGAGACAACAGGACTCTAATTCAGAGCAGTAATGGAACACTACAACGCCCAACTACCTGCCTCACGGCACAAGTTCCTGCATGTAAACAGATTAAGACAGCCAAATTTAGAGAGGTTTCTCCTTCCCAAGTTCTATGCCAGAGAAGATTGCATTGAAATACACCAGAAGTCAGCCTAGATAACCTGAATCATCAGTAAAAGGCATTTAAACCTAGCAAGAGAAAAACAGAAGTGGCATACAGCAATTAAAGTATCAAGACTTATCAAAGTCTGGTATATTTTACCTAGTTCTCTTTTTCAGCGACCAACAGCAGTAAATAACAAGGAACAATATAAAATTTAATTAAGTGTTTTCCACTGAAAATCCTGAAATATTTAACTTTACCCAAATACCTAAAGTAGCAAACATACGCTATGAGTAAGAAACAATATTTCTTAAATTAACAGGCCACAGACAGGTTTCCTCAGACTAGTGAGGAAAACTCTCAGATATCCTTGCTGTACCTTGAGAAACTGATTTCTACAGCACTGATATTCTAACACGCATCAAATCCTCGTTTTCCACCTACAGAATGCCAGAACAACACAAATGTGAGGGCTGTCACCACAAATAGCCTTAGACTCAATCGCAGTAGAGCATATGAGGAGTGGTGGCTCCCCACTTCCCTCAAATCTGACCTTGGCTCACCTTAGTGACTGCAGTCCTCTTGAACTGCAAGTTACCCCAGCAAGGAAGTGCTGTCATTAAATACACACTTCTGTCACAAAGCCCAGAGCATACAGGGAAGCACAAAAGATTGGTAGCTTTTTCAGGTATATAACTAACTAGGCACCAGTGACAGCAAAAAACCTGTCCCTGAAACAGCTCTAAAATCTAAGAGAAAAAAAGCCATCTGTGTTGACAGCACCATTCAGAGCTCGTTACAAGTGGTCACTGTCCCCATGAATCCCACCACGAAGATATTCCCAGAATGTAAATGGAGCCTGAAGCTCTAAGAGGGCAGTATGGTATGGATTTTACCAAAACACCATACACTGGAAAAATCTTGACTTGTGACTGTTAGTCTTCCTCATTTTGACTTTCATCAYGCACCACTGTAGTAAATCATTGCACCGGTGTAATCAATTATTGTTACACATGTAGTGTTATGTTCAGCAATACCAGGATCAAAGCAAAGCACAACTAATGATAAGCAGCTAAATAAAAAAAAATAAAATAAAACTGTGCCCTAGAACTTGTAATATGAGACTGCAAAAGAAAGCTGTAAAATAAGGCTACTCCTCAGATTTAATGGGTAGAGATTGAGGCCATGGCGAGAGCCAAAAGGGAAGTGTAGCACTTTGATGCAGGGCAGGGTGCTGATCTCAACAAGCAAGAGTTTGACTGGGACAGGTAGGGAGGGAACCTATTCTTTTTTTCCTCCAGTCCCTGTCTACAGCAGCATGCAGAGTAGAAAAGCTGAGACATCAAGAGATCCAGCTCATGTCATAAAGAGCTGAAAGGTCTCTTCAAACTCTTTACTCCATGTGCATATGCACGTGGTTGATCCTTGGTACCTTGGGGCAATTCTCCATCCCACTGCATGTGAGAAGAATAAATGCAGCACTGGTCCTGCAGAACTGGGCAAAAAGATGTAATCCCCTCTGAAATGAGGTCAGGGCAAAGTAAGGAACCTGGAGGCAAGAACAGTGCTTTCACCCTTCTCCCCAATTCCCCGAATTCCTTTCCCACAGGGTTCATTCCATCTGTCTTTGACTTTTAGAGTGATGTAGTTGTAGAACAAYGATGCACATATTTGGATCCACACACTTACAACTCCAACCACACTGTGAAGTGTCCAAACATTCTACTTTTACCATTAATCTACTGAACCTCATGGATACTACTGCCACCAATCCTATTAGAAGAGCCCTGCTATGCAGTAGGAAGCATTTTTTTTCTTCACATTAGGTATCTTTTTCCAAGACAAATTCATGTATTTACACTAAATTCTCACAACTTATAAATTCTAATCCTCCACACAATACATAAATGACAGTTCAGAGTGTCTTCTTTTATTTTAACATATCACTCTACTATTTCAGAAAAGGTTGCCCAGAAAGGTTCAGCTCTCTCTGGACAGACCTTGATGGTTTCAAGACCCTGAGCCATTTGGCTTGACCTCACAGCTGACACCGTTCCAAAAATGGGACTGAATTGTGGGCCTTCTGAAGGCCCTTCTGTAATATATGTAAATAATGTAATTATCCTACAATGCTTTGAAACCACAACCAGAAAAAGCAAAAATCACTTTAAAATGTCACTCAGTCCATCTCTTTAACTAAAGGCAAGATGAATTAGATATAATTTATTCTAAAAATGTATAGACCTGCTTCGTTTCCTCCAGTGATAAAAACCACCAGAAACTGGAACTTTATTTTGTTTCTCCCATTCCACAGATATACTGCTCTAAGCACAGCAACAAACCCCCACAAGTCTAATAAATAAATACATGGAATTTTTGTTCATTTATGAGCTTTCATCCAAGGTAATGAAAATATTTTTAGCAATATTTACTGCAAAATAAATTTTTTAGAAGCTGTTTTATTGAAAAGAAACAACCGAGTTATTTATTTCTACTCTCACGCATTTTGAGGACAAATGATAAAGATAAAGATACAACATACTTTTGGGAAAGGACTGCTGAATTATGAGCCATGGACAACTCAGGGCTTAGGAGAAAACAATCAATTATTCAAGCTCATTGAAAAATTCATCAAGAGATTCTTGAACTTGCAATAATATCCTGACAAATAAGTAGCATTCTGACTACATGTTTYAATTTCATCTATTTTTTACAATACTGGAGTATTTTAAACTTTGCCTCTCTTCATCAATTTACACAAAGTAAATAAAGCAAACACCTTTCCTAAAACAAAACAAGAAAATAAATTKGGTCTACCCAGCTCCACATTAATTACACAGCACTTTATCCAGACAATCTCTAAAAACCTTCAAGCATGAAGACTGCAAAACCTGCATGAGAAGCCTTTTCCTCTGCTTACTACTCACAAAAATCTGTCTAAAAYGCTGGGGAAAAATGACTTCATGCAGAGTCTTCCCATTTAAGTTATAACTGTTCAACGAATTTGCCTTATAGATCCAAATTGTCAAAGAGCAGAAAGGGATAGCTGGACCAGGAAAACAAGGCAGGCGAGAGCAGTAATGCAGGACTCTTCCGTGGCATATCCAGGTCAGGGCTGGATCCAGAGACAATGATCAGGGCTAGATGCAGCTCAGGGATAGCAAGTCTGTGGTGACAAGACAGGTCTAAGACTAGGCCAGAAAGCCCAGCCACCAGAGCTAGAGCAAGCTCAAGAAAGTACAAGACACACACACATACCTGCTTACACAGCTGTGATACAATACAGGCAGTAAGTAAAGCATCGGATTAAAGCAGAACCAAAACAGAAAGAAGGGCCAGATCCCTCCTTCTGCTATTCCCCATTAGCTCCTCTCTCAGTGAAGGAGATGACCTTGAGGTCTGCTAATAAACTCCAAGGCAGGAGATGCATTCAAGGTTCTGGCATAGAAGAAGTGCAGAATGCAAAACCAAGTGTAAGATCAAGGCATTTGTTTTCAATCCACCCTTTATTTGTGGGGTATTTCCTACCTACATGCAAAATAAAAAAATTAGCTTCCACATCCACACACTTCATTTTTTTCCCCCAAGTGCATCAGCCATAGCATCTGATTAATAAAAAGCAGTATTTCCTCCTATCAGCCTTGCCTACTTTGCACACTTAGGATTTTCACAGATCTACTTCCATAAAGTCCTGAMGGACCCTAACAATACTTTTTGAAAGAGCACTGCCTCATTCATTAAATATGCTATCCTGAACAAGGCTATTTTTACCATCACATTCAAAAGGCCATCACTTACAATCCACAYGCAGCAAGACAGAGTTACTGCTTTTGTCATTATGTACCATATTGTCTACCAAGATTTAATAAAGGCTCAGCAACATGGGCAAGTCTCATTTCCTTCATAATCACACCAAGACATGTGCAAAAAGTAATTCTCCAAAACCTCTCCAAACCTCTCTCCCATTTCCAGATGGAAGCATTTCGTATTTCATTTATAYTTCTCTTCTCCTGCCTCATTTAGCTAGCACAGTTTAAATTTAGTATCCAATGTGATCTACATCACCAGCACATTTCAGTGGTTTTCAATATTTGTATTTCAAACACAAGCCTGCTATTTTTTTGTATGCTACATTAGAACTTTATGCCTGTCTGGAAATTAAAACCCTAGCACCACTCTGAACCCAGTCAGGTTAACAGTGGCAGCTCAAGTGACCACAAAACTTAAAGAGACAAAGTCAGGGAAGACATTTAAATCTATGCCAACGGTGCATATCATGCCTAACAAGACAGTTGTGATTTCTTCACATCTCTCCCCTGGAATTTTAGAATAGCTATTGCTCACTCCTGAGGCAGTAAACAAGCAACTATCTGTTATCAAGACTAGCTGAACAAAAGTCACTACTTAAGGTGAGAATTTSATGGACTTCTCCAGCAGAAAAAGCCCAGCTGTACTTCCTTAATGTTTATTCAGTACCTGAGAACAAATACAGCCCCAGACTGGAAAAGCTATTCTCAGAATAAACTGAGAGAAATTTACAAATTGAAGAGAGAGCATTAATTAGATTTTGAACTACCTTTGTTGCTTCTATTATTCATGAAATACCAGCCTGACCATTCTACTTTTCTATGCTAATATTCGGAACACCAGATAACTGCTTTCAATTGTGAAATGCAAAAAAGAAGTCCCTCTTAGCCTTGTATGATTCAATTTGTTTCTTTCCATCCCTTCARAACACTTTTCATCAGAGAAAAATAACAAGCTAATATCTAAAGTCTGGTAKTTTGGTCAAACTCTCAATTTCCATTCTAAAAAGGCATCTAGTGTACTTACAACATTCTTAAAAGAGAACCAAAAATTGGGTCCCTAAGGAATGGGGGGGGGAAGGATTGTGAAAGAAAATTCCATCTGTTTTGACTCTTAAAAGCTCTTTTTCCACTAGCAGAATTGATTTCTCCATTTCTGAAATATCTCTAAGATTTTCTGAAAACAGAAAAACAAAAAGAGAAATAAAGACAGAAAATAAAGGAAATCCCTCCTGTTCTATTACAATTCATTTGTCATTTTAATCAGTCTTCGGCATGGCGAATAGGCACACACCAAGTGGACAGACACACAAAAATATTCTAGAAGACTGTTAGCTTGCCCTTCTGAAATTGATACATTTTTAAAGGATCCTGTGATAAACAGACTGAGGAATTTTTCAAAATTTTTGCTAAGCTATTGCTAATTACAAAGAATCTTTTCAAAGCTGGAGCTTAYAGATATGTGACAGGACACAAAAATGCAGGTTCTTATCTGGGCCTGCTCTATGTCATACAAACCAGCATGGAAAACAACATGAGGGAAAAAAGCTTTGGTCTGCTTCTAATGGAAGTTTTGGTAAGTAACGATCACCCAGATCATTCTCTAGATCTTACAGGGACAGGAGATGCACAAAGACCCATCTAGAAATCGGGTTCACAAGAAGGTAATGCAGAATTTCTCGTTTATGAGGTTTGGATTCTGTGATTCAGCAGTATGTTTATGTGGAAAAAATTCCCTAGTCAGAACTAATCTTTAAAATATCCTGAAGTTTGCTGAAATCTGTATCATACTGGAAGTTATTATTTCCAAAGGAAACACTCCTAGAAGAAATGTCAAAATTGCCAAGAGAGTGATGGGACCTAAGCAGATGCCTAAGCAGAAAACTGCARGATATCCAAAAACATAATTTGCAGCCAAGTAAAATGGAAAGCACTTCTTACAGTCTTCTAAAAACAAAAAAAAATMATCAAGTATAGTTGAAAATGCAAAACATTAGTCATGAGATAGAAAAATCTTTCTGCTAACACCAGTTTAAGACCACCAGAAAGCCAAAACAGATGCTACCAAATYCTGTTACTTTCTACTGGTCTTGCATAAATACATTTTCATTGGTGTAGAAAAAAACGCTTTGACACAGCACAGTCAAATGGAAAGACACATCAAGCTCTTGACAGCTCTAATAGCTTACTTCTGGAAAATGTATACAGCTGCTTCAGTTCATGTAAATTCTTTCAGAAAAGTTACTCCCAAATTTTTGGCATCATTCAGAGCAGAYAAGACACAAAATTTAACCTGCCATATTACATGTCCAAAACAAAATTATTACTTCAAATATTTTCTATTTCATCATGCCATACTGGCTAAAGATACATGGGCTACATTTATCTAACACACTTTCACTTCATGAGCTCTTTTAAGTATCTCCTTAGCCAAACAAACAGATGCAATCCAGACTAGAAAACAAGACACTCGACTGGAAACTGCTCAGATGTTGAGCTCACAGGGCTGCTATCAGCAGCTTCAAGTCCATCTGGAGGCCAATYAATACTGATCAGCCACAAGGACAGACCCAAGGCTGATACTGTTGAACATCTTTACTAATGATCTGGGCAATAGGACAGTCCTCTCAGTAAGTCTACACACAATACAGACCAGGGAGGAGTGGATCATACAGCAGATGGGACTGCTGCCACTCAGAGGCACCTCAACAGGCTGGAGAAATGAAACGGCAAGAAAATCAGGACATGTGCCAAAGGGAAATGTCAAATCCAGTACTCAGGGAAGAACAAAACTATGGTCACAGTGGAAACAGCCATATGGAAAGCAGCTTGGAAAAGATCAGCCAGCCATTGTCCTTTGTGGAAAGACCAACAGCACCTGGGACTACATTAGGGAAAGCCTCACCAGCTGTTCAAGGGAGATGCTTCATTCTCTCTAATAAGCAGTGGTGAGATCCACATTTGTTCAAGTCCAGTTCTGGCCTTGCCACCACAAAAAAGTCATGGGTGTGCTRGAAAAAGTCCACTGAAGCACCACAGATGATGATGGCAAAAAAAGCACCTGTCATACAAACTCTCTGGGTGTGTTTACTCTCAAGAGGAAAAAGCTCAGTATGGATCATAACAATGTGTATGAATATCTGAYGAGGGGAAGTACAGGCAATATAGCCAGACTGTGATTTTCTTGGTCACTCATTAGTGACTAGCAAAAGGATGAAAAGCAACACATAGAAACAGAAATACAAGGCATTCTGATTAAAACCAGAGCAAGCTTGTTATTAGCTAGGGTGGTCAAGTCATAGGACTAACTGCCCTTTCAGGTATTTAAATCTGAGAATGAACACAGTTCAGAACAACCCGGTCTGTCTGATCTGCTTTTACATGGGGTCAGCTTGGACTAAATGAGCTCCAGAGGTATCTTCCAGCTTCAACTCTCCAGTAATTTCATGGTTTTGTGAAATTCTCAGCCAAGTGTAACAAGAATTCAGCATCACTGAAAACATTTATGAATCATTTGCTGCATTATTTGCTGCATTCTTTTCCCTAACTAGGATTTTCTTGCCAGCCTCCTCCCCATTAAATTTCTGGCAGCTATTTTTGTTTGGTACCTCAGCACAGAGAGGGCTCCATCTTCACCCTTTTGCCAACTGCACTAAGGGGTGCTCTTAGGAGGYTGCAGTCAAAGCTGCCTGCCTGAGAAGTAACACCCAAAGCATGCAAAAGCCATTCAAACATGACATGATATGTCCTCTGAACAAGAAAAGTGGGAAGGAAGGGATGAATCATGATGATCCTACCTGCATCAACAATTTCCTATACAGACATACACTCTCAATCAAGCCAATCCTCAGTCTGCAGTTACAGAGTCAGAAACAGTAGAAAGTACCCTAAGCTTGACCAGAGTTTTAACATCCCCAGCCCGGCCTAGGAGGCAAAGTCTCACAATGAAATTTTGCAAAACCCAYCTCTTAAACCTCATTCCCAACTTAACAAACGCCCTTCCTAGACAGCCTACTACACTAAATTTCCAACAATACTAGAAGTAGAAAGGTCCTCTCCAGCTTCAATGCAAAGCAAAGTTTCTGTGGAACTGCAACCTTACTTGCAATGCAGAGAACTATGCAGAGAAYTATGAACTGAAGTGAGTAAGGCTCATCAGGAAAGAAGGTATCATTTGATATAATTAGAAAGAAAATAAGTTCTGGTTATCATAAGAGATATTATTACATGCTACAGAACTTTCGTTCTGCCTTAAACAGAATGCAGACGTATTGTGATGCTACCAAAAGTTTGYGAGCCACAAGAACCAGTGACAAAAACCACCTGCCTCTTACTGGTATTAATCAGCTTATATGACATTTTAAAATTGAATACCACTTAAAAAGTCCTTACAAGGCCCATTAACCAGAGTCAACCTGGTATAGGTCCCTGATCCTTGTAACACTTTTAGAAATCTACACTGAGGGTAAGACACTAAGGTGTGCACCTTTCTCTGATTCTGAAAACAAAACATTAATAAAACGTAGAAACTAAACCCTTCTGAGCACTCAGTAAACTCTCCCACTGTAATATTTAGTTAGCATTTTATTTACAATGGACAGTATTTCTTTGAAAAATTAATCCCTCCCCCACCCCTGCAGCAGAGAGTATTCAGCTTACCTGAAAATAGAAGAAAGCTTGGCCAAACCAGTAGTGCATGATAGTAATCTGTGCTGCATCGAATTTCAAAGGTCTCCAAATATATTTTGTCATCATTGTCTGAATCAGCAGACAAAACACCAAGACTGGTAAATTGTGAGGTCTAAATAGAAGAGCTGCTAGTAGAACCAATCCGCTATATACTTCCCATAATCCTGTGCTCTTCATGCTGGAGTCTGCAGAAATAACCTGTGACTTTAGTAAATCTTTAGTGCCAGTGAAGACTATGCCAAGAACAAAGACATAAACAAAACGAGCTTCAGTAATCCCCCTAAAGAGAAAATAAGATTGAAAAAAAGTTAATAAATAAAACAGAAAGATGAGTTACTTACTAATAACTATTTCAGAGTCTTTCAAGAGGTGAAGATCAACCAGTTCTGCCAATCAGGTTAAAAATCCAAGGCTAGCATTTTTCAAATCCCTAAGCAATTCCATTATCAAAAAAAAATTACAAACTGCTTGAAGTTGTAATTGGCCCTTACACTATCTTCAAACAACCTGTAAATTCATTTGCCTCTTCACTTCCAGTGAAAGCCAGCTTCTGAAGAAAACATAGCACATCGTCCAAAAAAGCTGACAAGGACAAAAACGTTKTAAGCTTTAAAACTGTGACCTGCTATTCTAGAAGTGCATGGCCTGAGAAACTAAGAAAGCAAAAGCAAACATCCATCAAAATGTGGTGACATTCTTATATTTTCTGGGGGACAAAAAAAAGTCACAGGTCTCATTATTGTGTGCTAGGTATACCAGCAATCCAGCAAATTCACCAAATGAGCCCATGAAAAAAACTGTGATTATAATTTTTTTTTTTAATCCTGCAAAAGCTAAAAATGCACATTATCTACACAGTTCATCTGTAATTGAATATACACTAGCCTTAGGTTCCACAGACTCAAAGAATGGATATCACTGTAAGAGACTACAATGAGTCATCTGGTCCAACCTTCCTGCTCAAGGCTCAAGCAGGGTCACCTAGAGCAGGACAATTGCACTCCCTCCAGTGAGGGAGACTCCACAACATCTCTGTGCAACCTGTTTCAGTGCCTGGTCACCATCACAGCAAAGAAGTTCTTYCTCATATTCAAGTGGAACTTCCTGTGCATCAGCTCCTGCCCATTGCCTCTAGTCCTATTGCTGGGCACCACTGAGAAGCACCTTCAGAGACATTGCTGAGGTTCTCTCTCAGTCATTTACTCCTCAAGCAGAAAAGGCACAGCTCCTTCAGCCTTTCTTTGTAAAAGAGATGTTTCAGTCCCTTAGCCACATTCTTAACTGACCTCTGGACTCATTCTAGGAGCTCCCTGTCTCTCTTGTCCTGAGGAGCCCAGAACTGGACACAGCACTCCAGATGTGCCTCACCAGCGCTGAGTAGAGGGTCAGGATCACCTTCCTCGATCTGCTGCCAATGGTCTTCTTATTCCCCAGGATCCCATTGCCCTTCTTGGTCTCCTGGACACACTGCTGGCTCCTGGACAGCTCGTTGTCCACCAGAACCCATGTCCTCCTCCGAGCTGCTTTCCAGCAGCTGCCTGAAGTTCTTCTTCCCCAGGTGCAGGACCCTGCACTTGCCTCTGTTGAACTTCAGCCAGTTCTGTGCCCAATTCTCCAGACTACTGAGGTCCTTCCGAAGGTCTGCACAGCCCTGTGGGTTACAGACCTTTCCTCCCAGCAAATCTGGTGAGATTTGGGTGACATCTTCACCCAAGTCACTGGTTAATAAGTATTCACAGTATGGAGCCTTGGGGGACACCACTAATGACAGGCCTCCCTGTGCCACCAACTACAAACCCTCTGGGATMTGCCATTCAGCCAGAATCTCAGTGTCCACTCATCCAGTCCACACTTGTGGAGCTTGCCTATGAGGGTATTGTGACAGACAGTGTTGAAATCCTTGCTGAAGTCAGGGTAGACAACATCCACCGCTCTCCCCTCATTCAGCCCGGTATTTGTTTCATCACAGARGGCAATCAGGTTGGTCAAGCATGATTTACCTTTATTGAATCCACACTGACTACTCCTGATCACCTGTTTGTCATTCACATGGATAGAGAGAGCCTCATTTCAGAACRAGGTGCCCAACCACCTCTCCAGAGACTGAGGTAAGGCTGACTCATTGRTAGTTTCCTAGATCTTCCTTCTTGCCCTTTTTCAAGACTGGTGACTTTTTCTTTCTTCCACTCCTCAGGAACCTCTCAAAGGTTGACATTTCAAAGATGATCATCAGCAGCCTCACTATGTCCGCCAGCTCCCTCACCACCTGTGGATGCCTTCCAACAGGACCCAATCCTCCCTGRCCACAAGGAAGTCTTCCTTTCAACATTCCTTTGCTATGGCCTCCGGGGTGAGAGACTCCTGGCTGGTCTTGTCAGCAAAGATCAATACAAAGAAGGTGTTCAGTAACTCTGACTTCTGCCTCTGAGAGAACCTCAGTAATCCTCTGTTACAGGGGCCTTTGCTCCATCTAGTAAAGGATCCACTCTATCCCKAGTTTTTCTTGTTTCTAACGTATTTGAAAAAGCCCTTTCTGTTGTCTTTGACATCCTTGGCCACATTTAGTTTCGGACAGGCCTTGGACTTCCTTGTCTCATTTCTACCTCCTCTGACCACCTCTCTATATTCATTCCAAGTGGCCTGCCCCTGCTTCCCMCTCCTGTGTATTGCATGCTTATGCTCAGCAATGACAGGAGTTCCTTATTCACCCACACAGATCTCTTACTCTATTTCCCCAGTTTCTTCCTCATAAGAATATGTCATTCTTAAGCCTAGAGGAAAYAGCCTTTGTATACCAATCAGCTCTGTTGGACCTCTCTTCCCTGCATGGTCTGTTCCCTTGGAATACTTCCAAGATCCCTAACRAGGCTAACATTACCTCTTCTCAAGTCCATGATTGCTTGTTGCTCTGCATCCTCTCTGCCCAACACTGAACTCCACATTCTCATGGTCACCAGAGCCAAGGCTGCCCCCAGCTTTTACATCTCTAACAAGTCCTCCCGTTTGTTGTTACAAGGTTAAGCAGCACCATTCCTTGTAGGATCTCTGCTACCTGTGTCWGAACATTGTCATCAGTGYTTTCCAGGAACTTCCCAGACTGTCTGTGCTCCATTGTACTGCTTCTCCAGCAGATGTCAGGGTAGTTGAAGTCCCCCACAAGAACCTACAACTTTGAAGCCTGCTTCAAGCTGCCTGTAGAAACCCTCRTCCACTTCTTCTTGATCAGGTGGCCTGTAGCAAACAGCCACAACAGTCACCCTAGTCTACTCTTTTATCCTGACCYGTAAGCTCTCAATTTTCTCATCATCCACTCCAGACAGAGCTTGATATGTTCCACGTGTTTCTGCACATAGAGAGAAATTCCACCAATGCACCTTCCTTGTCTGTCTTCCCTAGGCAACATGTGGACCTTCATGACAACATTCCAGTCATGCAAGGTATCCACRTCTTCATAACTTTATCCCTATCAAGCCTGGCTATGTCTACATCCACCTTCAAATCCAGTTTAAGCTCTCTCAGTGAGCCCTGCTAAATCCTGAGCTACTAKTTCCCCTTTGAAAGAGATGGACCCCACTTACTGTCACCAGGCTCAGTGTCATATAAACTGACACACAATAAAATGCTGGGAATTCTGCTAGTAACACCAGTTTCAAAGCCAGGTGTTCATCTGTCTCATTTTCCAGTTTCTTGCCCCATCAATCCCTGAAACTGGCAGGATAGAAGAGAACACAACTGGTGCTCCAGACCCCTTGACCAGTTGTCCCCAAGGCTCTGATGCTCCTTTTGATAATCTGCACCCTTGTTGTTGGGGCTTGGTTGCTGCCCAGCTGGAAAACCAGCTGTGGGTAATCATCACTGGGCTGTACCAGGCTGGGAAGTTTCTTGGTGATGTCTCTTATCCAGCCCGCAGAGAGGGCAACACACCTCTTTATGGATTGGATCAAGCTGGYATATCATTCCTCTCAAAAGGAAGTCACCAATGACTACTGAAGTCACCAATGACTACTACACTTCTGTTTCTCTTAACTGAGGAGGTTGTGATGTGGGGGGTAAGCTGCCTTCCCCTAGGCAATCTTGCCAACCTGGATGAACTTTAACCCACAGTCTCACTTCTCTGGTCCTCATTTCCCTGGTTCYCAGATTCCAGGGCCTCTTATCTAGTGCATACAGGCACCTGAGGAGGTGAGGGAGGTCAGGAGAGGTTTCACCTGCCATCCCAAGCAGAAACCCATTTTCACTCCTCTCCATCCCGAAGGTCCCCTCCCTCTGGCAGGTGCTGAGAGGGCAGAGGGTCCATTGTTTCTTGCAAATTGGACATCAGGTCCATTTGTCTGAGTGAYGGCAGAGTGCAGCTCCACCAGGCAATCTCTTACTACCAGTCACTCTATACATGAGCAATGAGTGAAYATGGTCTCCTATAAAACTAATATAATTCACTCAGAAGTGAGGATTCCTGAGTCATCCGGATTCACCAACATATGGAGGATTAGACCAAGACTCTAAAAATAGTAAAAGCATGGTTCTATTCATGTAACCAGTGTAACTAGCTGACCATAAAAAAGCATTACTAGTCAAAATACCTAAAAATAAGTTTTATAAATAAATAATAATTAAAGTTAGAATTTAATTCTTTTTTTTAGTCTTAGAAAGGTCACTCTCCTAAACAAATTACTAAAAAGCTTGACTCAATCTTTCTTTTCACATACAGGAAAGAAAAARCAAGAGGAGAAACAATAAGCATGACTATTTACATATTCAGTTTTCTTTTTTGCATGTACAGAACCAAGGAAAAAAGGCAAAACTGTGACATAACAATGACGGGGCCCTCCTAAACCTGAACACATTGCACTGTTCTGTTGCTTACCTTTCAATGGTTCAAGGTTATACCTAATGGCTTATGCAAAGGGGCTTTACTATTTTATTCCCTTGAAGAGCAAGCATTTGTARAAACACTATAATACCCATTGATTTTTTTCCTTTAGGGAAGAAAACTAAGGGTAAAAGCCAGTAAAGTTTAGAGAATTTCTGTCTTTSTCGCTAATGCAAAAATTCAGTGTCCCTTCTCAGTGTCTTCAGTAACTCTGATGTAATTATTACCATAAAATATTCAAATACATTCACATGACTTAGAAGTAGAACTTCAGGGAWTAGCTTGGGGTATTTGCCTATTCAATGAGTTAAGTATAAACCAGAATTTACCAAYTGATGGAAATTCAAAAGAAGTATTCCCCAGAAAACGCATTATTATTTTGTTTCTTTTAGCACAATATATATTAATCCTTTTCATTGCACAGACTACATTTTTTTTTAAATAATACTGAGGTAAAAAGGCCAAATTACTTCTTTGCCTTTTTTAATTAGGAAGTTTTCTTAGTGTAAGCCACAGAAAACATGGAACTCTTAAATAGCCTCATCCACCATCCAGCAGTTCTAAAATTTAGAGAAAATCTTCAGTAAAGGGTACAGAGAGGGAGCGCTTCTGAGCCAAGATTCTCCATCTCAGAGAAGAATTCACTATGCATGAAAAATGCAGTGGCTGCCCACAGCTTTTTCTCATATTACACAAAACTACCTCTACAAAACTACCTCTACAAAACTACAGATCTACGTGGATCTGGAGTTATCCCAGACCATGAATACACTGAAGATATCTCTAGAGACATTTAAAAGGAAGTCCGGGGTTTTTTAGGTATTTTAAATAGGTTTTTACCAGATATATWATATATWTATCAATATATCAATATATGCTGATATATAGCATATATATCAGCATCAATATGMTGACTATAGAATGAACAAATTTCAAGTAAGTGTTTGACCTCAGTATTTAAGTACTCTACTTTTTTTCTAATCACTTTTTCTTTGTGGCTCAACTGCTATATTTAATGTTTTGTCCCATGCTGCAAGGACAGTATTATTCTCCAAGGACTCAAACACAAAGCAAAATTAGAGATCACACTCAAAAACCAGGCATGTTTCAAGCATAGAGCCAAATCCTGCACAGTAAGTAAAGATTATCATTATTTTGTCATGCAGCAGCACTAACACATAGTATCAACTTAACACTAGTATACCCTAGAGCTATCTTCAATATTTGGAGGGATGGAATGTAAATAAATATATCCAGATATACATACAAACAAATATTTCTTGTAAAATATGCCATGTTAGCAAACCTGTCAGTTAAGAAAATCTTCTTTACATCCTAAGATCTCACCCTACAGAGCTTTGTCCATGTCTACACATCTTGTGAATCTCTTGCCCCTGACTAAGGAGCTCCAACAGACACCATTTTTATTGATATAAAATTCAAAATGAGTGCARGAGAAAGTTTATTGCATCCAGAAGACAATGGTTTCAATTTCTCATCAGATGTTCCAACTGACTCTGGAAGTTTTCCACAACTCTCAGGCATTTAGGAAAACTTGGGGCTGCAGAGTCAGGTAAAAGAAAACTATAACCATTTAGCTACATTCCTAATGAAGTAATTGGTGAAAGAGTTAATAACTTCCTTAAAATTATAGACTAGTTCCTTAAGAAATTTAGAATCAGACTAAAAATCCTTAATATGCACAGGTAAAATCTCAAGAAGGACATGGTTACATCTTGAAAGCCCACATTATAGAACACTCCACTCCAAAAGCCAGGTATGGAAAAGCAATTATCTGAACTACTGCCTAAGCACTTTTGAAAAGAAGTAGTGGCTAAATGAGCTTGGCATGTTCTTTCCCAGATGTAGCAAGTCCATCTAAAACAACAAGAGATCCATTTGGAGCTTCTTTGTAGCAAAAATACTGGATATAGCTACCAGATTTTCATTATATTATTTCTTACCTGACTGGCTTCTGATTTGTCACAGTCAAAACTGGGGCTTCATGGGGCRCATATCACAAAAATTCAGTACCAGTCATCTACAAACTACAGTTCTATTCAAAAGAATGTAAGTCCAACCAAGAACATCCCATCCATCTCATCCCTTGATAGCCAAAATGCTCAGCCCCTTGATAGAAACAGTTACTTCTCTGTTGATTAACTTACTTTGAAATATCTTTGCCACCATGTTGCCATGGAAATGTGACATTTCCAATAGCTGCCCGGTAACTGTAGACTCCCAGGAGCCCAAGTGCCATAGCAATTTTTGAAACCAGGGAGCACCTTCTTTGAACCAGAAAGAAGATCAGAAGTAGSGAGACTGCAGCCAAGAAGGAGAGTTCAAATTTATGTTCAGAGCTGGGAAAAAAACAAACAAAAAAACTCTTTTAAAACAGTAATTAGTGCTAAACACATTTGATAGAGCCTTAGCTACAGCACTGTATTAAATAAACTGTATTAATTAATGCAGCACCAAATTAATCACTGCAATGGTATCTGTTATGAACTTTCTAAGAGGTATGGTAAAATATTTTCGTATTTTTAGAAAAGCAGTTTTATTAATGAGGTTTCCTATTCAAGCATGCATATTTAAAAGTGTAATTATTGTGTTCCACTGCGTGCTAGTTATTCTGTTAATTATATAAAAACTGAGCTGCATATTGCATAACGGAAAARGGTTTACTGCTTTTAAACTAGGGTTTTGTTATTTATACATTTTGGAAAAGTGTATTTTGCTTCTACTACAGCATTTCATTTTCTAGCATCAAAAAAAAATTTACACTATAGGATTAAGAGCTATTCTGTCATTTGAAATAGCTACATATGTATTTGATTTGTTTAATTTTAGTCATAGAACACATTACCCACCCAAAATGACCAGAAATATACTTACATAGCTTCAAACATACACACAAACTCATCACAATGTGATTCCCTTAWGCGACACTACAGCACCTTGTGCTGTGTCAATACATACAAGAGATAGACATAAAATTTGCATTATTGACAGAGATTACAGAYACAGTTTATTTGTTTGTTCCCCTGCATCCTAAACAGGTAACACTCATTCCAGAATCAAGGGCATTTCACTGAGCATGCTGTTAGAGTTAAGTATTTAAATCTTCAGTAGTATGAAGTAGCACTCCAAAATATAATGGGTAAGTCAAAGACCTGCACTGAACCCCTAACACATAGTTTCAGAAAGTCAACTGTAGTCCAAGAATTGCCAGCTCATGCCTACTGAAAACATCCCCAGTATCCCAAATGGTACAAACCCACTAATTTTGTCAGATTTGCCTTCAGTTAAGAACATCATATAGATTGTGAGAGCTAAGGGCTCCATCTTCTGTTTTCCACAACTCAAAAGCTCATGATAAAAGACCACTAACTTCARGAAACTAACAGTGCGCCTGGGCTTTTATCTGCATTGAATCCCACCACACTTATGAAATTCCAGTTTTATTTCTGAGTTAATAAAAATTAATGTACTTCAAATAGGTTTACTTTCCTATTTCCCTACTATACAGGGAATATTAGAGGCTTGACTAATAGCTGTTTCAGCTGTTGTGCTTGGAAAGTCACCGAGGAAAGGTTGTATGGCAGAAAAATTGTCCTCTTAGTTCTCTAAATAGGACCCAGTCAAGTAGTTTGCACACCTTAACAAGAATTCCAACAGATGCATTGATCTCTGAAAGTCAGTGGAGAAAAGTGAGAGGAATAAGACCTAGAATGCTGTGAGAGAGAAAATCAAGCCTTGATGCTTCTCCTCACAACTGTTCTTCCTCTGCCTAAGGAGACAGCAGAAGCAGTGAATGGATTCCTGCAGCATCCTGTGAAGATACCTCAAGCACCACCTCCTTTATGAYCAAAACATAATGAACTAATTTAGCAGCCACTAAACATTTCAAATGAGTGTTTATAGAAAACTTTAAGCCTTCATATTCTCCTTGGCTACTCATTTTATGAGAGCARGACAAATCAGGGATAAATAACAGCACATCATCATCATCATCTTCATCTCTTTATCTAAAAAACTACTAGCACAGGGACCAATATCCAGGTTTTCTTGTAATAGTCCTCTGTGATCTCCAGCTGGAATATTTTTGAACYATAATTTTTGTTGAAAATAACCTACCCCACTGTTTCGTAGCATTTGCTGAAAAAGCGAGAAAATTATTTACAGCAAGTGAAGTGAGGTCAGCACAAATCACCTACAGTTTCAAGGTTTTCTAGCCAAGGTTCCTACAGTTAGGCAGCTAAAAGCATATGTAATTAGCACATCTTTTGAAAGGAGATGGCATCTGCTCAACACATAGTCCAATCRTTTTGCAAAGTTCTAAATTATTTTGATAGTCTACTAAGAAATACAAGCACAACAAGCTATTCTGATCAGCTGCAATGTMGAGGGTGTTGCACAAACTACAAAATTGAAAGCGAAGAACCAAGAGCTTTCCAGTGAGAAGGGAAGGAAAAAAGTGTACTTTGGCTCTATCTTCCTAGTGAAATAGCTTGAGGTCTACACCCCTACTTCTGGTAACACAATAAAGGCTGAAGACATTTTTTTCCACTGCTAAGATCTCACCTCATTACTGTAAAATACAAATAGAATGACAGGAATTATAAATGTGCATGATTAATAATTTAAGTGGATAAGGCCCTTTTTAMCTGTTTCTTTTATTTTACTAAGTACAGCTAAATACACAGAAATCACAAGCTTTGCTGGCTTTGAGAGGAAGGACATTTGGTGATGGTTAAGTACATTATTGAAAGAAAATAKTATCATCTTCCCATGCTGATGCTTCTTGTCACTTCTCTTCTAGCTGACACTGCCATGTACCAGCTCTGACACCTTTCAAGTATCAACTGTGGCCAAGATTAACAGACTAATAAAACTAACTGAATACTAACCAACCAAAAAGAAAAGCCAACTTCCAGTCCGATATAGATTGCATGTYTTCTTCCACTTCATCTACTGTCTGATTTTCTTTTGCTCTTTTTCCCATCAAAGTACTTTTTAGGTTTTACAGTCTGTGTACAAACAACAAAGAATATTTTCTTTATTTCAGTACTGTTGAATGCATTCATAATAGCCAAATTCAACACACTATAGCTTGGATGGATTTTCTGCGTTTTGATGCTTACATCAAACAAAAACCTGGCCAACAGTGTCTCTGTCTCAAATGCTGAGCCCTGTAAACACTGTCCAGTTAAGCAAAATACTAGCCTGAGTATGAGCATAGATGTCTAAAATATCAATACAGGAGAATAAAAAAAGAGGACCATTTGTTCATTGKTTTTTCTTTAGAGACAAGATAGAAGGCTGGCTAGAAAAAGCCTGAGTTACTTGAATTCAAACTAACAAGGGCAYATATGATCCAAGAAAGGGTCTAAATTCTTATTAGTAAAAAACATGCTATTAAGACATAACTATGCAAATTAAACTAATACTAAAAATAGAATAACAATCAACCTTATAGACTAGCAATGCATTTTAGGAAGAGGAATAAGTGCTTTATGCAACTCATCAACTTTTAGTTCATGCTATGAGGACAACACATCATCTCAACCTTTATCAAATCACTAAGGAAACAGACATCTCTACAGCCCTGTTATCATGTGAAGCAAAAAGAACAAAGATGTCAAAACCACCAAGTAAAGAAAATGCAAGCATGCTGGCCAAATAGGAAATCCCAGACACTTTACAGACCACAGGATGTGTAAAAATTCAGTTGCATCACTGGCTAATCTTTCTGAAGCTTGTTCAGTGAGCCATAACAGAGTCAAGAACTCTACTACATCCCATCACTCAAGTCCAAAAACTGTTATACTTCTAATACGACTAATCTTTTAACCCTATATTGCAACTGAAACATAYGTCAGCAGGGACACATGCATAATATTCTCTTGTTAGGCTGAAAAGTGCTCCATTGTTTAAGTCAGGATGTACCTCCACAGCAGACTAAGTGACCTGCAGCAGGGCTGCCAGGGCTCTGTTCTTTCACGTACTCCCTGAACACAGCCAAAGCAGTTCCACCAATGAAAGGGAGAAGGCAGAACTGTGACACTGACAGTTCCTATCACACATCCTCCTAGCCTGCCATGGCACAACATTCTGGACTTAGTAAGCCTCCCAAAGTACAAGGCAGTGAATCATTTCTCTTAAGCAGTTAGATTTGAAAGGCAGGTGGTTATTTGTAAGGAATGCTCAACAGTGGCAGAAAGTAAATATCTATGTCTGTAGTAYTTCAAAAGATGCAGATACTTCTACATTCTTTTTTACAGTAATTTCCACAACAGCAGTGCTGACTTGTATGCTCTTCCCTGCACGCATTGCTGTTATAAGCCAGCCCATTTGCCATGAAGACCAATGGTAAATCAGCAAGAAGTCATCCAACTGAAAGCCAAGAGTTTCCCATGCCAACTTGAGTTATTTTTCCAGCCACATCTTTTTAGTGATTTAGTTCACCATACTGACACAGGAACAAGTGAAATACAGGGCCAGCAAGGTAAGGAGAAACAGAGCAAGTACCTTGCCTGCATGGCAAAAGCTCCCACAGTATGCTATTCTAGCCAATCAGTCATAGCCTAAGAGTATACCGGTAGGACCTTTTCTCTTCTACTTTCCACAAGATCCAAGCAAATACATCCATTGTGAGGCCATAATTTGATAGGGAACAGAGAATGCAATCCACCTGTAAAATTCTGATGGCTTCGTTTTGATATCAAGCTGCTGTACTTCAGTCTTACTGCAGGGGGAGGCAGACAGCTTTAATAATAGGGTTGTGACGGCTTTACGAAGCAGAATAGTTTATCAATCTCACAGATTTTTGTGATGAGACAAGCTCAGTGGAAGAACATTATGCAGACATTGCTGTTTGCCTGTTGCTTTAACAAAGCTTTTAACACCRCTCCTGTAACACCCCCATAGGAAATCTCATGCTAGAAAAGTGGATAGTCAGGTGGACTGAAAAGTACTCAAATGCTGGATTCACAGGGTTGCCATTAGTAGCACAAAGTCCACCAGGAGGCCAGTCACTATCTGTCAACCTCAGGACTTCCCACTGGGGCCAATACTGTTTAATGTCCTCACTAATGACCTGTGTGATGGGCACTATCCCCTCAACAAGTCTGCAGACAACACAGAACTGGGAGGAGTGGCCGATACAGTAGGTGGGTCTGCTGACAATCAAGGCCCCTTGACAGGCTGGTGAAATTGCCCACCAGGATCTTTTGAAGTTCACCAAAGGCACGAGCSAAGTCCTGCACCTTGGAACAAATAGCTTCACACATCAGGACAGACTGGGGAGCTGATCTTTTCAGAGRTGATTCTGATTGTCTGGGTGGACCCTGACTCAACCACCAGCATGCAACATGCCCTGGTAGCAAAGGCAACCAACAGTATTTGGAGCTGCATTATAAAGAACATTACCAGAAGACTGAGGAAGGTTATTTCTTACCCTGTGTTAAACCATGGGTCCAGTAATGGCTTACCCAGAATAGAAAAAGATACAGACATATTCAAATTCATATGAATKCCAATTCACAGGGACAGAAATCAAACACATATATAGCCTATTCCCTCCCTTCTACCCATTCCTTCCTCAACAACAACAACAACAAAAGAGCAAGCTAGAACAGGTGTAAGAAGCCTTGAGTTTACCTGAGTGGGTTGCTTGGAAGCCCCTGATAGGCAATAGTGTAAGAGCTGGGCATAAGGATTTCCCACTTCCGTTACAAATCAGGAAGCTCTAGAAGCACCTAGAAGGTCTATCTGCAGATTACTTCACCTGTGTTATGTCCTTGAGGTTCCCCCCCCACAGCCTAAGGCTATAAAAGGTTTTGCTGCACTGTAGRCATACTTAGCACMATGAAATCAGAGGTGGGAGCATATTAAAGCAAGACAGGATCTTTGGAACTTAAGTCCATACATGCACACGCAAGTTTTAGAAGTCTGGTAATATTTCCAAGAGTTAATAAACATCTCTGTGGGACCACATGAGTTACAGCATATATCTGAAACAAACCAAGTTTTCAGCTGCAGGAGTATCAGRCCCTTGTTTCATGCCCTTGAGGCACCAGCACACTTCAAGGAAAAAAGACTGACAGTCTGAAAAAAAAAAACCTGGCTCAGGACATTACTGGGAAAATAAATCTTTGGCAGATGCTCAGGATTAATTGCAAAAATCCTCACAGACACATCAAATCATGCCTCATCCTGCTCACACATTGGCTTAGCTCATAATGAAGGAGTCAGTTATCAATCATATGGACTTGATGTAGGAAATACAATTTTTTTATTCATTCCCTCACCTCATCTCAAGAGCAGAAATGCATGGTGAAAACTCTTGTATAGAACAACTGCTAAAATACGATAAATTCCCTCACAACTCATGCCTTTCAGCACTCATGCCTGTCATTGCAATTAGCATTTCATCTGTGAGGCTGCCAATAAATAACAAGTCTCATATTAGYCCATTCACTCATGTCATTTTTAATGAATGATGAATGACATTTCATCCATGTGTTGTAAGATACTGGCAAGAAATCTATTTATCTTACACAACAGAGCCTYTTCATCTGCTGTTTGCAAAACCTTGACTAGTCAGTCACAAAGTATTGCTTCTCCATCCACCAACAGAAGTACCTGAGATGGTTCAAGTATCATTGCATTATAACTACAGTTCTTCAAAACACTAAAAAAGGAGAAGCACTCCTCCAGTGTACTTTCAGTTATGAAAAATTCCCTTTCTTGTTTAGCAAATTACACTCAAAAAATTCCTTCAGCTTTTTACCCACACATTAAAACCATATGACAGACAAGGATGAATTCAATRTGCAGCATCTTCTCCTGTGACTTCATAAAGTTTGGAATTATGCAGAACCTTCCTGCCTTAATTTCAAGAGTTTAATTCTATTAAGTGATGTTTAATTTCCCAAACCAGACACTGTTGACTTACGTATGGAAAATATTTACTTTTTGCTTCTGATAAATCTATCATGTATAATTGGCATTAATTAGATAAGTCATGGTGCAGGGCAAAGATTATAAACTATTGATAGTACACGAAGAATCACTCCTGCATAAAACAGCAAAGAAAAATTCCTTATGTCACTTCACTGTTTATCTGCCTTGTATGTTTGCAGCACTCTCTGATCAGAGACCACACAGAAATATATACATATTTCTGTATATACATACAGAATATATACATATCAAATGAAACACATATTAATTTTTAAATAAGGCAGAAAGTGTGACAATAAATCAGATACCCACCTTGTCAGCCAATGTCCAAAGTCTGGCCGATGAGCCCACTGAACACCTGTCTGATTCAAGGATCGAAGGAGCCGACAGCAAATAAGGATGATCCATGGAGTTGCTAAGCTTATCCATTTATCTGATCCTTTTATGAATTCAGATGAAGAGGTGGCCTTGCCCAGTTTTGAATTAATTGCTGCTGGAATGTCTATATTCTTGCACTCAGAGGTTTCCGCCATACTATCAAAATTTTGTTTCACATTGGTGCTATGTTGAAGGTCACATTCTTTCAGAAGAAAATTATTTCTACAGAGTTCCTGACACAGCACCAAACAAAGCGTATTGATAAGAAAATACCAGGTTTGATGTTCCTCTTCTATAAAACTGCTTGCCCCCAAACTCAAAACATGGCCAATGGTTCCAGCCAGAATCAGCACATCTATTTCTGACCAGCTAGAGCTGGACACAGTAGGATTCTGCAAACATTAAAAAAAAAGCAGTGGTGAAAGAGTATATAAAAATTCCACTTGTAAGTATTCACATTGTACTTACAGCAACTTTCTCTAAGAAAACAAAATAAACAGCATGAAAACTTATTTCTATCTTAAAAAATCTCAAAAATTTATAAAACAATCATTTCAGTGAAGCATACTTACTTYATGCTAAGTTTACACACTACAACTTAATTTTTATGCATTTAAAATTGCTTTCTGTTTAAGTGATAAAACTTCTCTATGAATAATCACCACAACTGTACAGATTAAGATTGCCTACCACCTTGTAACAGAAGATTCAAAACAAGTTCATGYCCTGTTGCATATTTGTATAAGTAAAAATAAATATCCTGAAGAAATCAAACTTGAGATATAGTTAATACGTAATTAAGTCTCTAATAGCTGAAATCTGTGATATCCTCAACTTAATAGTGACAGCCTTCATTTCACTACTCAAGTTTACAAAATTACCTCCTGATGGCACTCCTTGACCCCTAAGCTTGAAATGCGTTGAAATCTACTTTAAACAAACATTTATCCATCTGTTATTTACTTCAYACACTGTCCCTATCTAAAACCACAATATTTTTTGTGTAATGCCTCCATTAGCTCATTTTCCTGTTCTCAGCAGCTAATTGAAATTGCCTTATCATCACTACCTTCAATGATAGGGCTAAAGAGAGAGCACAAGGGCATGTAGAAGTTGAGAGCACCCAGTTCAYTGGTATTATCAGGTAAAGAATCACTTCAGCACACAGGGAAAGCCATAAAAACGACCACACAGAGACATAACCATGACAAGTAAGCACTAATGGAGACCATAAAGATGACCAAAACTCTTCAGCCATTCATTGCCAGACCAGTAAGAAAACACAAGCTTAGCTCTGAAGAGCATCAGTCTGGACTCCATAACAGATAAGGGGGAAGTGCAGCACACTTGATGTGGAAGCTAGACATTACAGCTACCTGATGGCACCTGTGGATCTGTACCAAGTCACTAACCAAAGCCACTAAGCAAAGATTCAAATAAGCATCAAAGATGGGGAAGAGGGGGTGATGAGGAACAGGCTGGAAGCAGGGGCGAAGTAAGAGGAGAAAAGATTCAGTTACATGTAAGCAAGAGCCAGTGCAGTTTTCTGACTGAGCCCTAGGCCTGGTCACTGTGGTCTATCCTGTCTTATTTAATCTTACCCTATCTTTCTGTGCAACTCCACTCCCTGTCCCACCTGCAAGCGTGCAAGATGCCACTGCAAGCAGCTGGGGACAAGCCTGCATGTCAGCAACCTGAGACCAGAGCAGGTTAAAGGTAGTGCCAGCAGCTGCAGAGACATCTGGGTCATTGGACCCACACAATCTGCAGTGCCATGACTGCAGCATATGCTACAGTGACTGGAGAGGGGACTACTGGCCATCGGAACTGTGAGCCCAAGGWACCAGCAGCTGGAGGGATCAGCGTACATACAAGACAGGTCAGAGTGTCAGCAACAGAAAAAGTGACCATGGCTCACCAGGCCTGTGGGCCAGCGTGATTAACCGGAGGGCCCAGAGTACACAGCTATGTGAGGGAGGTCACAGGGCCCCTGACTGGAGACACCTCTGTCTGTTTTGACTTCCCCACAAAGTCAGAGCCAGAGGTGGGACAGTGACCCAGGATGGGCATGCACAACTGCATGGCAAGACAAACACCCCAGCCCTGGAGGACACTGGAACCAGCACGGGCTTCCTAAGATACCTTAACAAAGAGTGTAACACACATAYTTGTGAAGAATTTTGGGCAAGAAACTGTCAAAAATCTTACATCACTATTTTATTTTCTCTATTTTTGCTCTATTGGAGAATATCTTGGAGTATCTCTTAAACTGGTATTTTAAGCACCTAATAAAACAAAAATTTAAAAGCCAAATCTAAATTACTGCATGCCATTTTTACTTCAGAACAAAGATCTCTAAAACTGCTTTCACATTCATTYCCCTAACTGCGTATTTTATCCACATCATCCTCCTACATTTGACCTATGAACAAACTTTWAAAAAAAAAACTTGAATATTCAGAGAACACACTAAATTAAAATATGCACAGTATACTACAATTTCTGCCCAATTTAAATTGTGCTAAAAGAAAATATAAACAAACTGACCTTTGAGCAAGTAACAAGAAAGCAGCTGTAAACAATACAAGTATCTCTGAGCATCTTAGATGCAATTCTCACTTGTGTTCACRACTTACTGACAGCAGCATACATATTTTTGTTCAATGCGCAAGACTATGTAATAGTGAAGACAACAAAGACACTTGATGCAAGAACCTAATTAAACTATCTGGAATTTTGCTTTGGGGAAAAAAGTTTTTAGAAAATCGAAATTTTATGAGATGTATGTGGAAGAATGCAGGAGCCAGAATTACAGTTAATACCTATTCACATCTCCTTCATTTCTTGTGTTGTTAAAGATTACACTACACCAAAATAATTTCACTTTAAAAAAACTAACATAAACAAACAAACAAACAAACAAACAAAACCCCACACAACCAGAAGAGTCCCCGTGAGGTCACACACAATAATAATGGAGGGAAAAATATTAATAATCTGAAAAATGCCCAGGTCCAATCTAAATTTACTAGCATTTTAAATTGCCTTGGTGTTCTAAAGACTGCTCAGGTTTGTTTAGTACTCTATTCTGAAGAGCAAATACCATAAGCTGGTATTTGGAAAAAAAGGACAAGGTAGTCTGTGCAAAGACCAAAGAGCATGAAATTCACAAAGCTGAGACAAGAACAATACATGACTGATCTTCAGCAAGTTTAGATTCCAATAATTCTATCATGCTGACCTTAAAGATCTTGGCTAACTAAATAAATGAGCATGTAAGCGTCATCTGCTTGCAGAGACAAGGGAATCYGATATCCTAAATAAATGAGAATGACCAAGTCTGAGATAATTTGTCTTCTTCGTAAGACAACACAAAATCTATAGAAGGATTTGTCTCTTGTATTTGGTTGCTGTCAGCCACTGATATAAATACTGAAGAAGTGATGCATTATCAATGGTGAGCATACAAAAACCTCATTAAAATGACGGCATTAATGRGAAATGTCCCAGGGTCAGAAATGTGTATTTCTTGCCTACTTGTCTCTCACAACKTCAATGAAAAGAGAGAAAAATTACTCTTATATTCATCTCAAAGGATTAAAATCCAATAACATTTACTGATAAACCACATTTTAGATCAGAGTTAAATCACTATGCAAAATTGGAAATTATTATACAAATTACAATCTCCTGAGCCTTGATCTTTGGAAATTGTGAAAACACCTCCATCAAGATTTTCTAAATTTACTGGTAATCCCTTATATATGAACTCTGACCTATTAGGAATGCCATGAGTATGGCATCATATACAGCCTAACCTTAGATTGCTTAGATTGTGCCTAGTTTTTAGATTTGGTTAAAGGCATTGAAATACAGGTCTTACTCTGATATTCACAGCTGTCTTTCCAGCTGCTGAACRTGTCCAACTCTTAGGAACTCAGCGGACACTCCAGATATTAAAAAAAAACCTGTATAATTCTCAGTTTGTTTGATATCTTGACAAACAAACTTAATCCAGAATTTTTTGTTTAGAAATTTTTTAATCCCAGCCTCACATGAGRTAAATATATAATCTCCCAAACCATGGCATCTTTATCAATTGATGTTTCARCACTAGTACTTAAGCAATATAAAACTGACCTCTCTGCCCTTGCTTTGAACGCATCTTGCTAGCGTGCAAAAGTGCTAGTACATAAATGACASAATATATGCATCTTTGACCATTAAATTCTGAAACTCCTTCAYTTCAAGATAAAACCTCCTGTAGCCTGTGTTCTGAGTCTTATTCCAGCTATCTGGCTTCTCTGTGGTTAACCATCCACCGTTAATGGCCGAGAAATTTTGCAACTATTTTTCACATGAGAAACATCTTATTTTTTCATGGTCATCATCACTCACAATTTAAATACTTCTTATTCTATTTASTTCTAATACATGAGCTCCCTGAAACAAGTCTTGATTCTCCACCATGGTAGCTTTTCCATAACAAAGTACTTGTTACAAAATTCTTGTAACAAAGTACTCCATCACTCTTGCTTCTCTATTTTCAAAGTAGTTTGGAATCATTTTTGAAAGCTACCTGGTAAAGAAAACACCAAATGACCTCTTTTCTACCCAAGTCAAAAAACACCAAAAATATTTTTGCATAAATTGCATAAAAATGTAAAATTTTTCAATTCATCAAGAACATAAAACAAAGGAGGAAAACCAAAAGGTGCTTTAAAAATTGTAAATGTAATAAAAAGCCACTATAAATCTATATAATGAAAATTTTTAAAACCTCTATTTGACAAGTSTTAATTTTTGTGTACTAGTTTCAAAAAACTATCAGTTTTCATTTCTATCAGAAATAGGGGGCAAAACCCCCACATCTAGTAGTAGTAAATACCATGTTTAAATCAACTACCAAGCAATTACAGTGAAACTCTGAACGAGAACTTTGAACTTTTAACAATTTTCTGTAATTCATAAAAGGCTGCAGAACTATTTAAAGCCTGAAGTATCATTAAAAGWAGGGACTGGTGCTGCTAGAAACATAGCAATCAGAATCTATAAATAACAGTCAGGAAGCAGATGCTAACACTGCCTGCACTGGTCTTCAGAAAATTCATGAACTTGGTAATCAGTTTCTATATTCAGCCACAGTGGGAAAAAAAAGCATTACAAATGAGAAGCACTTCAGAGAAATCTTTAGATGTGAACGGAAACAATTTGAAGGAAAAAAGCTCTGAAGCCATTAACAGGAGAGCTTATCTTAATTACTTTTAAAATACCTACATTTTATTGCATAGCYTGAGCACAGAAAAGGCTTTTTAGCTTTTTTTTTTTTTCCTTTAACCAGAAAGATCATGATTCAGGATTCCACTCTCACCATCAGAAGACCAGGGCTTCAGAACTCTTTCAGAAGTGGACCCCACAYGCAGATTCGTAACATGGAGATGACACATCACAAAACACTTGCATTCAGAGACATTTCAGCATAAGTAGTACTCATAATTCACACAGAAGGCCCTTCAAGATCAACACACAGCATATAAAAACAATCCACTTCCCCCACCAAAATCTAAGCAGTTTAMTGGAAATGGGGTGAACAATGGAGATGAATTTTTGGAACATATCCACATTACAAGCAGCACCAGATTTATACCCTGCTTCTTGCATCTTCTCCAGGCTCTATTTGTCTAAGCAGTGACCCAAAGAATGCCCYACCATATCATTCTACAACAGCCCTGAGACCAGCAAAAATGTTAATCAGAATCAAGTMATTGCTTTTATACATGTCTAGAATGAAAGTACATACTAACTAAACCTACAAAATATTTCATGCTTTCTTTGGAACTTGAAGAGAGATAGCAAAGCCCCTCTGACTGATGTGATATACAAACAGCAATGCACTCACCTATGCAACAGGAGTGAGGATATGATGACAAAAATATATTTCTACAGGTCTGAATACCAAGTCATGTCTGCCTCAAACAGAACTATTATTGCCTACACTTCCTAAGACACACTTAGACTTCCCACATTATCAGATATATCTCAGGTAGAAATGCAATCACAGAGAAATCTGGGATGGAGAATCCAGTATTTTTTTATTTCTAACAGGCCCCAGCCCTGAAAAAACATACACACACACAAACCTGGAAAACATTGCTGAAAACCTCATTTGTGTATTATCAACCTGAAGCAGATAATCGGASGGTGRTGAGACACTAGAACAGGTTCCCAGGGAAACTATGGATGCCCCATCCCTGGAAGTGTTCAAGGTCAGGCTAGTTAAAGCTCTGAGCAACCTGGTCCAGTAGAAGGTGTCTCTGCCCATGGAAGGGATTTGGAATTGAATGATCTTTCAGGTCCCTTCCAACCCAGATCATTCTATCATTCTGTGATTCTTTGAGACTATGCAYCCAGAGAAAAAATGTATTATCTGTTGTCATTGCTCTCCATGGTAMTGAAGAGAAATATATGTAAATTTTATGCAGGTCTACAAAAGTCACCATATTTAGATTTCTACTGTTTACTAAAATGAGAAAAACTGGTAACAAGATGAAAAACAAGCTTTTAGTTGTGTTTGTCAGTGCACAAAGTGCATGTGAAATTTCTACAGAAGACACTGAAGTATTAAATATTTCAAGGCTATATTCTTTTTCTAAGAAATAGAACGTAAAATCAGAAAATACAGAAAAAAATTATAATCTGGTGTAGTTTCAATAAAAAATATTAGCAACCTTACTTGTAACAATTTAGATTTAAATTTAAACTCATGAATTACAGCACATATCTGCACAGAGTGCTAAAGTAATCTTTATTCAGGAATATTGAATTTTCTGCATTGTAAGAAATGCAGCTGTTACTAAATGATAATTCAGGAAGTTTGTTTGGAGCATATTGTCATATCAGTAAAGAAATGTACTTGCCATACTTTGTCACACACTTACAGAAAAGGTACTAAACACCCAATCATGATTCTAAGAAACATAGATTGAAGAAGGACTTTATGGCACAGAGGTTGCACCACTGAGTGGAGTATTATGAGCAGTGAAGCTATTGAACATCWGAGATCTTTGAAAAACACGACTGAMAAACAGTAGAAAGAACAGCTAGAAGCTGATGTTATGGTGGGACTGACAGCTCTTGGCACACTCTTTCGCAGAGACATTGCAGATTCTATTTCCTTGGAATTACCTGTATTCTATTCAACACAACAATAAAACTCATCAAAGTAAGTTACAGAAGGTAACACCTCACACTTAGAACACTTCAGAGAACTCCAAAGATTTTAACAAACTCCRTTTCTTAAACTTCAAAAGTAGAAAGGACAGATTAAATTGGCTCCCTCTGTTGCATTTTCAAAATTATTAAAAATAAAAACTTGAACATTAATAATACCAATATAGGAAAAGGTATACTGGCGAAGTATATTCTTCTTAGAGCATTATTGTCTGTTATATTTGGGAAGGGTCAGATCATTACTATCCTTTGTGCACGTTGTAAAGTATTATACATCTTGYTTTAATTGAGATTGCAAACATAACTGTGTAGCAGCCTAGGATTTGTATACAGCATAACTGTTTTCGATCTCACAAAGTCAACTGCAAAACAATGTACAATATTTAAAACGTCCTCAAATTATGTCAAAATAAGCACTTCTTGGATCTTCATCCATCAGTATCATGCAACAGTGAAAACAGCACATTTCAATGACAATTTTAAACTATTCAAATTACATTAAAAATACGAATTTCTTTAAGCAAATACACAGAGACAACAAAATTTTAACCGACAGTATGCCATGAAAAGCAAAACATTTTAAACCACAATTAATGTATACTCTTACCTTCAGTGGAAGTCTGGAATTCTCAAAGTTCTTTGCAATAGCAGATAAAATACCACACATGAGTGCAGAAATCAGCATCATCACTCCAACTGCTGTTAACCAGGACATACTGCAGAAATAGCACAGACTTTCTGCRGATGTGCATACAATGACATGAACTGCGCACAGCATCAGACACATCAAGTAAAACAGCAGAGAGAATAGTGGAGGGGAGAGGGGTACTTCAAATTCTGCCCGCTTGCTCAGGGCTTTTGGAACACTGAGCAAAAGCAGTAGCAGAACCTAGGAAAAAAGAGGATTACTATTTTAAAAATTGAGGTCACTAAAATATAAAACAAGAATTCACAGAAAAAAATCATGCTGTTGTCATCCATGTCACTCTGCTAATATGCATACTTCATCAAAAAAACCTGTGAAAAACTGAATTGGATTTTTTTTCCCCAGTAAGATTATTACCATATAAATGGAAGAATCCAATATGGTCTTTTCATTTATTAAGGTCTTAKACATACAAGTTTCCATGTTTAATAAATCTTCATTTGCCTCCTCACCTTTRGTAACCAATTATACGTACAATCTTCATTCCCTGTAAAAGTAAGAGCTTGAATTCCCAATATCAAAATAGTTCCTAAGCAAACAAATTTGACTCCTTGTTTGTCACCTGTAAATGCCTGAAGTCAATACATTCTGTCGAAAGCAATTTATTTCTTGTATGAGAAATAGACATGTATGAAATCCTGCTGAGCTAAATAACTTCCMAAACCAGGGGAAGTTCTATCATGCAAGTGTATGCTCAATTTCGAGCTTATGAATTCTCTCAAAATTTACTTTTTGTACCTTTCCTTAATTTAATTTATTGGTTTTACTTTTACTTTGCTCTAAGCTGCACAGATATGAGGCAGAATTCCAAACTTTCTTTCACATAAYTGTAGCAGTGGAGATAAGCAACACAACGAAACTTTCCGCTACTCATATACAAGCCGTTACAAAAACATGGGAAACTTCAGCCAGATGCAAAAATGCTTTGCAAGCTGCAGAGATGGAGCTAGGACTAGACTGATCTCAATCAGCTTGTGCTAGGGCAAGATTAAAACAAATAATAAAAAAAAGCAACTATATCAGATCACTGTCAAACTATAATATTTCACTGTCACTTGTGAAGACCTATGCCTAAAATTTTTCCCACTCTACAGTGAGACACAGTAAAGTAGACTGAAAAAAAATCGAATGCTTTGCAGTAGTCTGCTGCTTCTTCATATTCTACTTCATATTTTATTTGGTTATGAAAATATGCAGGTTTTTGAATATCACGTTGGCTTAAGTCTTACATTTCAGCCCAACACTTAAAATTAAAACAAAGACAGTATTTTCTCAGCAGGAAAAYACTCTGTAGATATCTATCAAACTAAATTTAGGTCTTTTGAGCAAATGCACTGTTATCAGTTCATGTCCCAGAGGTATTCTCCTCATCTGAAATACAGKATAACTGGCATTTGTAGCATAGCGTAGTTTGAAGCAACAAGTGAGCTTCCCTACTCTTATTTATTTATTAAGTGAAGGTGGAAAATCGGTATCAAGACAAAAACATTTTGGAAAGCAAGGCAGCTTCTTGAGTATTGCATGGGAGAAAAGAAAAAACTCCAGCCATTTTGCTGGAGTCTTACAGTGATGCTGAGCATACACTTCTCAACAGCAATTTCTGTGGTTAGTAGCTGCATGTTTTCTTTGATGAAGGCTGATTAACACCTAAGATTTGTCTTCYAGAAATAGTAAGCATCTACAAATGCATTCCAGGAGAACAAAAAATCCAATGCTTCAGATCTAAAGTGACTGTCAACAGCTTGAATGCATAGGTTCTGAAAACAAAAGAACAAAAAAAGGTAAGCACCTTCAGCTTTGCACTGAACTTTGTTAACCTCCAGATCTTCCATCTGTAGAGCAGGAACAGAACCCACCATCTCATCTACCCAAGGGCACCATGGAACTCATTCCTGTGATCAGCAGAGTGACTAACCCCACTGAGCAGTCTACCAGAAAGCCATTTCAGAAGCATTCTGTTTGCAGAGAACAGTGCCTGGGTGACAAGGCACTGAACTCTGAGAACAAAGGAGACTCAAATATCAGCTAGCTGCCCATGCTTTATCAGTTCCAAGCACTGAACAGCAACAGAGCTACACCAATTACAGTCTTGAGGAACTACACACATTCAAGGACTAAGTTAAGCTTGTGGTAGGTACTTTCATCCAYGTTAGAAAAGTTGACAATCTTACAGTCTAAAAGGTCAGTGCAACCTTTGGTACTTCAGTGGCCAGACATGGTATTGTGGTATCCCTTCTAAATGGTTCTCAAAGCATTCATRTTATTTCCAAGCTTTTGAGACTATTTCCAGCACTTGAGTTTTGCCCAAAATATCAGTTAGAGAGATCCATTTAAAATACCAGACATGGCATATCTTAACCTTCTATGGGAGATATGAAGAGGTAATCCTACAACAAGTATTTATTTCAGGGCTCTAAATCAATCAGTACAAAGAATACCTGAACTGTGAAAATTGTCCATATAAGGTATTGCCTGTTTGGAGCAGCTATACTCCATGTTAGATATAGAGGAACAGCTAGGACTTTACTTGCTAGACTCTTTCTTTCCTTTATGCAGTAAAGCTACTCAAAAATAGAAATTAATATGGAAGTAATTTAAATTGTAGCATATCTGCATATCTACCGTAGCTAGCTACGCTGAAGTATAAGTAATTCATATCAAAAGCACTCTTGAATCATTTTAAAGGCCAGATTTTACTTTAAAAAGAGCATTAATTTCATCCAAGCAGAATGTCAGCCAACCCCAAGAATCCATACTCAGTCATTTTAAAGACCAGTAAGTACAAACATTTCATATCCAAAACCAAGATACTTTTACTTTTGTGCACTTAACTTTTTCACAGAAAGATCTATTTTCATACCTCCATAATGATGACAGTCCCCACCATCATCGAATACATGTCATATTGTGCTACTTGTTTGCTTAATGAAGAACTCAAAGTCTTGAGGGCCTCCAAGTATAGCTTCAGGACCTTCTTGCCAAGATTTAAGAGTATTTCTGAATTATTCCCCTCTAAATACAGTTTGATCCAATTACCATGGGATTTTTCTGCTATCTTAAAATGTTCATATCCAGGATCTGGAGAGAAGGGGAGAAAAGAAAAGAAGCAAGAGGATCCTCGAACAAAGAAACATCATTTGGAGATGTGATCATATTTTTGTATTTGCTTGTAYAGGATATAAAAATACATAATTGCTATGGGGGTTGAAACATTTTTCACACATATAAAATTACGCTATTTTCCTCCAACAATACCGGTTACTTGGAATAAAAGCACTTAATTCTAACCTAATAAACTGTCAAGACCTCTAACAAATGACAAACTTATTAAAATAACCATTCGTTTTTACAAAGGGTGTCCAGGACAAACAATTCAAACGCTTCAGATACAGGGAGGGGAAAAAAGAAAGGAAGCAATGTTTTCCACTGGAATTACTCATTATCCAGAACCTACTGTACAAGCTAAGTGGGAAATGATCAAATAGCTGATGTCCAGGGAAAACACCAAAGGAGGCAAAGCACACACTGTATCAGTTAGTAGTGTGGGTTRGTTGAGTAGATGGTGAGGTGGACTGAGAACTGAAACAACGGAAAAGCTCAGAGGGTTTTAATCAGCAGTGCAAACCCTATCAGGCTGGAGGCCCATTAGTAGCAGTCCTAAGGATCGACATTGGTTCCAGTGGAGTTTAACTTATTCACCAATGACTTGGATGAAGGAACAGAGGACTCCTCAGCAAAGTTCACTGATCACACAAACCTGAGAAGAATGGCCAATACCCCAGAGGATTGTGCAGCCCTTCAGAAAGACCTCAACAGGCTGGAGGGATGGGAAGAAAAGAAATATGTGAAATTCAAAAAAGCCAGTGCAGGGTCCTGCACCTGGGAAGGAACAACCCCAGGCACCAGCACAGGCTGGGGGTGACCTGCTGGAAAGCAGCTCTGAGGAGAAGGACCTGGGGTCCTGGTGGATAATGAGCTGTCCATGAGCCAGCAGTGTGTCCTGGGGCCCAAGAAGGGCAATGGGATCCTGGGGAATAGGAAGAGCATTGCCAGCAGATCAAGGAAGGTGATCCTGACCCTCTACTCAGTGCTGGTGAGGCACATCTGGAGTGCTGTGTCCAGTTCTGGGCTCCTCAGTACAAGACAAACACGGAAATCCAGGAGCAAGTCCAGCAGAGGGCAACAAAGGTGATGAGGGGACTGAAGCATCTCTTCCACAACAAAAGGCTGAGGGAGCTGGGTCTTTTCAGCCTTGAGAAGAGGCAACCGAGAAGGGWYSYCATCAATGTCTGATCTGAAAGGAGGGTGTCAAGAGGATGGCACCAGRCTCTTCTCAATGGTGCTCAGTGACAGGCAGGTATCTGTCTGATGACAAGAGGCAACAGGCAGAAAGYGGAACRCAGCAAGTTCTACCTAAACATGAGGAAGAACTTGTTTACTCTRTGGGTGGCCAAGCAGTTGGCACACGTCACAGAGACCTTCTCTAGAGATATGCTAAAGACGTCTAGACACATTCCAGAGGAATGTGCTGTGGAGGACTCCCCTTGAGCAGGGAGATTGGGGAGTGATCCATTCCTACCTTACTCAGTCTGTGATTCTGCTTTTCAAATATTGGTCATTGGCTACAGTATACATTCACAACACAAATGCAGTTGATTACATGTGGAAAGCTCTTCCAGAAACTTGTATCTCACTGGACATTATGCTCTGCAGAAATATCCACATTTATCTGTTTGTTCTGTTTT